TTTCCTGCTGTTCATTTTAATCTGATTTGACCACCTGGACAAAAGTATTGAGGTGAAGAGAAAGTGATGACAATATCCTACCTTCCCTGAACCCAAATATCACTAATGCCACTTTGCATTAGGTTGGCAAGAGTTGGTTGTGAGATCCAGCCGGGCTCTGCATTCAGTGCAGTCTGCTTGGGATTCTTTCTCTCCCTCTCCCTCCCCTCCCCCTCCCCTTGCCTGCACTCTCATACTTTCTTTCGCTCTCTCAGATAAATAAATAAATAAATAAATAAATAAATAATCTTTTCTTTCTTAAAGGGTGGCAAGAGTGTAGTGCTCTTCCCATAAAGGTGATCAGTGAGCACTGATTGTCTATCCCCTCTCTGCCCTTTGGACCATGGAATGGTCAGTGCCTTTCCCAATATGACCACTGCACAGTCACATCATTTGAACCAGTCTGATTACCTCTCAGCTTTTGATTTATAAGCTCAGTCTCCTATCTCTCTGCTTAGCTTCCACTTGACAGTTAATGGAAATGAGTTGCATTCCTGGTCTGGACTATACCTTATGTTTTGAGTGTTTCCCCCCTTTATTTGCTTAACAAAGGTGGAACGTTAAATGGTTCAACTCTGTGTTTCACACATGAGACCTGTGCATCCAAAGGCATTACCTCTTCTGCTTTACCCCAGTTACCAGATACGCAGCTATGTGTGTGCACATGTACCTGCCCCACAAGGCCGTGAGCAACCTTGGGACAAGATTCTTTGAGACCACATACCTGGTCCAGCACAAGTGAGAAACTATCACATAATGAACTGGACAATTTAGCAGCAATGCTAGGGTCAATGCTTTAATATAAATTATACACGTTAGGAAAACAACTCCCCATGATTGCATTAACATCTTTGCCACGATTTCTCTGCTTATTCTCCTTGCTAGATTCCCTCTTTCCATCATATGAATTAGAGAATTCAGTTTGTTCTCCCCTTGCCAGGAGGAATTCAGAGCCCTTCTAAACTTAAATAGCCATGTAATTTACCCACGGGCTGTTCTTCTTCCAGAGTGTTTTAAGTTTTAATTCCAATATAGTTAACATGTAATGTTATATTAGTTTCAGGTGCACAATATAGCAATTCAATACTTCCATACACCACCTGTTGCTTATCATAGCAAGTGCACTCCTTGATCCCCACCACCTATTTCACCCACTCCTCACACACCTCCTCTCTGGTAACCATTAGTTTGTCTCTTTCTTTGTTTCTCTCTCTCTTTTTTCTTTGCTTATATGGTATTGTCTTTCTCTGATTGATTTGTATCACTTAGCATTATACTCACTAGCTCCATGCAATGCATGTCATTGCAAATGACAAGATTTCATTCTTTTTTAGGGCTGAATAATATTCCATTGTAAACATATACCACATCTTTATCCATTCATCAGTTGATGGACACTTGGGCTGCTTCCATAATTTCGTTATTGTAAATAATGCTACAATAAATATAAGGGTGTTTATAGGAGTGTACGCATACCTTTGAATTAGAGTTCTTGTATTTTTTGGGTAAATACCCAATAGTGGGATTCCTGGATTAGAGGGTAGTTCTATTTTTAATTTTTGAGGAACCTCCATCCTATTTTCCACACTGGCTGCACCAGTTTGCATTCAGCAACAGTGCATAAGGTTTCCTTTTTCTCCGCATCCTCGCCAACACCTGTTGTTTCTATATTGTTGACTTTAGCCATTCTGACAGGTATGAGGTGACATTACATTGTAGTTTTGATTTGCATTTCCTTAAAGATGAGTGATGTTGAGCATCTTTTCACGTGGATGTCTTCTTTGGAGAAATGTTGGTTCATATCTTCTGCCCATTTTTAAATTGGATTATTTGGTTTGGGGGTGTTCAGTTGTATTATTTATTTGTATATTTTGTCTTCCAGAGCTTTAAGGTCAATAATCTAAATATTTTCTTTCTGTGGTGAAGATTGGACCCCAAGGTGTCCAGACAAGGACAGAGAAGGAGCAGCTGGAGGAGGATGGGATCTGTCTCTGTGAGGTTACAGTGGGAAAAGTAGGACCTCTGGTCCATGCAGACTGTGTCTTTGATAGGCACATTAGAGTATGCATGTGTATGCATGGGCATATGCATGCTGCATGCATGTGCCCATGCATATGTGTGTTTGTGTTCAGATATTTGAAAAGAGCAAAAGTGTAATTACATTTGAGGAACTAGGCAGGGCCCCCTTGCTTTTGGGGAGAGGCTATCATTTGAGACCGAGTATGTAGGGGTAGGGGTGGGGAAAGCTAGCACCAGCAGCTGTTTTTAATAATGCCACTCACCTCTGCTGATTAATTAATATGCTTGTCAAAATAAAAGGGAAATGGAAATGCCCCCCAGTGCTGGGAGTGGGATTGGTTGAGCCGTCCAGACTCAGATTAATTACTAGTGCTCTCATCTCTCTTGGGCTCCAGATACAATAGAACAATAATGAAGGAGACACGCACACAGATCTGTCTTGCCCCTTGTATATACAGCTGTGCTCTGCTGGCATTCAGTTCCCAAGGGGGTTGGAGCCCAGCTTGTTCCCAGGCAAAACTCCCAAAGGCATCAGCAGTTTACAGAAAAGTTGGCAAACTCTGTGAGCTCCATCAAGAAGGGCACCAGAGACCAAAGCAGTTTTCCACCTTAAAACAAAAACAAGTGGAACCTGGGACAGATTTGGATTTGCTCTAGACAGAAGGTAGGTGACCAAGTTGGCTCAGGGAAGAGATTGACCACAGCTTGGAGAATGGATGGGGCCCTGGGGGTGGGGCACACTGAAGTGGTTTGGATGCTTTAGTCTGCATAGATGAGTGTTGAATTGCACTAAATTGTACATAATATAGATAAAGGAAATAGCTCTTCTTATTGCACCCCAGAACAATAGAACCAGGAATTACCCCAGGAAGTTTCAAAATAACTCTTTTCTTTCAGTTCCAACAATAGTTTTTGAATTTTGGGGCAGAGGTAATTCAAAGCAATGTTTTCACCAAAAAAAAAAAAACCAAAAAAACTTCTTTTTTCTCCTAGGTATACGGAGAGATGTTATTTCCACCTCTCCTGTGGTTGAGGTTATATGATGAGTGGGAGTGGGATGTGGGTGCAAGCAATGTAACTTGATCCCCAAACTTCCTGTGAGGGCTCTGTGTTCTCTCTCCTATCACTGCAGACAGTCTTGTTGAGCTGCTTCAGTAGGGCAGAGATGCAAGGTGGAAGGACTCTGGGTCTTTAAATGACTTTGTGGAGCAGACCTACCCCTCCCCTGCCAAGTACCCCACTGACCCAGACTGGGGGGCAGACAAGACTGTTTCCTAGTGCGTGAAGCCTAGGGCAGCCATAACAAGGTACCACAAACTGGGTTTGCTTAAAAAACAGAAATATATTTTTTCACATTTCTGGAAACGGATCTGGGTCATGTTGTTGTCTGTGAAGGCTCTAGAGGAGGATGCTTCTTTGCCCCTTCCTGGCTTCTGATGGTTGTGGCATCCTTGGCATTCCTTGGTTTGTAGCTGGCCACTGCAACCTCTGTCTGTCCATCACATGAGGCTCTCCTTGTGGGTCTTTCTAGGAGTCCAAATTTCCATCTTACAGACACCAGTCATGGATTAGAACCCACCTTAATCCAGTATGACTTCATCTTAACTTGATTTGTATCTGCAAGGAACTATTCCCAAATAAGGTCATAGTCACAGGTACCAGGAGTTAAGACTTGAACATATCCTTTCTGGGGGACTCAATTCAACCCACTGTAGTATCTAAAATTTGGAGCTTGTTTTTTTATAGCAGCTGGCATTAGTTTCTTTGACTAATACAAGTCTGGTATTGGTCTCACCTGAGAAGAACTTTCTCCAGGAAGTCGTTTCTAACCTCCTACCCTAAACGTAGACCATTTGCTACTTTCACAGGGGACTCTCCACATTGTCCTAAATTTCCCTTATTATTGTATTTATCATGCTGAGCAATGATGTCATATTTACTTGGATAAGCACGCTTTTTGTCTCCTCCTCTGCTACACTGTTCATGTCCTAGAGGCAGGACTTTCTTGTTCTTTATTGTATCTCCTGTGTGTGGTGCATAATATATTCCTTAATAAATTCTTTTCAGGTAAACAAATGGAAGATGCAGGGAGGGCTGGGTGTTCTGGCACAAGCAGCATTAGGCTAACTTTCTGCCTATAGGATTGTTGCAATTCTTGATGGCTTCCTTGTTGCCAAATCCACAGGCTTATTCTCACTTCCCTTTTCTTATTTCATGTACCACAGCTGATGCCCTTAAACATCCCCACATATTAATGATGCTTCAAGAATCTGGCCTGCTTGGGTTCCTGGCTCTCAGCTTACCATCAGTTCCTTCTTAAAAACTGCTTATTTCTCATTTCTATTTGGACCCGTTGCTTATTACCTCAAACCCCACACCTCTAACAGAAACTGTTTCTTTCACTCACTCCATGGGTAGACATGGTTGGTTGAACTGAGTTGAATTCCTTCTTTTTTTTTTTTTTTTTCCGCTCTACAGAGTTTATTGGGTTTATAACTTGACAAAGTCACACGTGTACAAAATGAAGCTCACACTATCCCAAAGCAGAGTAGGGATTGAGGGCTGGGGATCCGTTACTGGCCTTTGGGGGAGCTCTGAGGTGAGGGGCAGCCAACCCTCCCACTCCAGAGAGATGTGGCCACAGGGGAGGGGAGGAGAGGGAGCCCAGCTGGCTTTGGTCACAGAATACAGAGCCTGGCATTGGGCCAGGGCAGACAGATGGATGGTGGAGTAGGAGTCCCAGAAACCACCCTGCCCAGGGAGTCCAGGGACTGCTCCACCAGTCCCGCTCGCAATGTGGTTGGTCCAGACCTAGACTCAGGGGCTGGTGCAAAGGGAAGGCAGCAAAGCAGGAGGGAGGAGAAACTGAAGTGTGGTGGCCTAGGGTACCCAGGCCTGTGGAAAAGGGCGGGTGGGGAGACAGGCTAGCTCCTACTAGGCAGCTAGCAGCGGGTCTCATAAATGCCGCTGTGGCCAATATAGCGCACCCATTTGATGACATCGTGGTCGCTGTAGTTCAGCTTCGATTCCAACACCTTCAAGTAGCGCACTTTGAGGCCAGAGGGTGGGAATAGCACCTCAAAGTTCATGGAAATGGGGGGTCGAGCCCATTTCTTCTTTTTTTT